TCCCGCCCACCCCCTTGTCTATCCCTCCAGTTTTAGTTACCACCACCTCCACTTGTGCCACGCCACCCCCAGCGCCCCTTTGAGGCAGACAGCGATGCCTGTGTGCCGCCCCTGCCGTGGCTGCTGCGCTGCGCTGGCCTTATCATCTGGTCTTCCCTTTCACTCCCCCTCCCTTCTCTTCTTCAGCCCCACCGCACTCCCACAGCGCCCCAGCGCCCTACGTCCCTTGAACGCTAGGTCTCGGCCCGGAGGCTTCCCGCATGGTAGAAACATGAAGACAATATCAGCGTGGTGCAGGCAAGCCGCGCCCGTCTTCAACTCCTCCCCGCCCCGCCCCCACCTACTTCCCACAGCTGTCATGCCAGCGTGCGACTTCCTGTCGGCAGTGCCAGAGCTTCCGCGCACCCTCCCACAGTAGTATGAAAAGACTTGAAGCAATGGCTCCACACGCCGTCTTTTCCTGCCAGCAAAATAACTGGCCTTTTAATTCTTTTAAATTAATAATGACGCACTTACTTTTCAATAAAATTTATTAAGTTTTTTTCTTGACGAGTACGTCCTTCATGAGCCGTAATACGAACCTGCTCAGTTTAGGCAACGCAAGCTCTCGTAGCGCCGGATGTGTAGGCAACATCTGGCCTGGAGTGCATGCGCGTACAGCGGGGTGGCCTACATTGAGTCTCACAGGCGCCAAGCTCCCATCGGCTCCCGCAATAATTTACCGAATGAATCTGAGAAAAACGGATCGACTTTCTGGATGATCCTTCAACAAACCCCACGGCAGATCCCATACGGTTGTGTACACCGACCCTGACCCCAATTAGAAGTCTGGAAAAAAACAACCCCTAAAATCCCCCGAGTGCTTTCTAAACTCGACACTGGTCTCGGCCAGTCTCGGCCTCGGAAGGCCGCCCCACCAGCGCCACGCCACGGAACGCCACGCCCCACCGGTCTCGGCTGCAATGTCATCCCAATAAAAACTCAGACGGGTCGCCCCTGCCCGTTTGATGTTCCACTCAAAGCGGGGCGCTCCATCTCCACCCCGCTCCCGCTGCGGAGTCCTCGATGGGGAAGACCGTTAAATATCTTGAGCCACTCGACGCTCCTGTTGCGCTGCCGGATTTGTTATTTGTTATTTTCCCCCTTTATTCCAAAAGGATATAATACATTATGACGTCCAACCCCCTATTATGCCCGTCCCTATCCCCCCCCCCCCCCTGACTACTCTATGACTAGCTGCCGGCAAACACCCCTTGCCCTGCCACCCTGGTGCCTTTGTCCCCTTTTCGCTCCATCCCCATCCTCCTTCCCTCCCTCTCTCCCTCCCCTGCCCCCCTCGTTCTTCTTCTCTCTTCCTCTCCTGTTCCGCTTTCTCAAACTCGGCTCTGCCCCCGGACCGTGTTTGTTCATCCATCAATCTCGCTTTGTACCGTCTCTGTTGGTCTTTCCACATCTCCTTCCGCCCCCCCCCCCTCCATTTCCCTATCACACGGTGCTGGAGGGAACCAACATCGCGAGACAGGTCTACACTGACTACACACAGCCAGACTACCTTGGAGGCCGCCCACTCGGTCACCTGCTGTCCGTGGTCGTTATTTTGTCCTCATCTCCTCTCGACCACGGCCGGAGAACACGTCGTATTCCAACTAGACTGAGCCGGGTGGTGGCTGGATGTTGCGCATGATTACCCAGAGGAGCAAAGGGGCCATCGAGACGGGCTCATTCTGCTGCCCCACGCCCCACCGAGGGACCGGCAAGAAGGACGGGACCCACCCCGAGGCGGGGCGAGGCAAGGGCAGGGCAGGCCGTTGGAGGCCTCGGGCTTGATCGTGACAAGGCGCTCGATTGAATCCTTCCTCTCTTGGGTTCAGTTGTCCGGCGCGGCTGGGGTCCGGGGCCCCGTGGGGCTGGGCTGGGCAGCCTGCAGAAGCCGCGGAGGCCAGGAGGTGCACTGCAAAAGCACGCCGAGGTCGTCTTGCAGCTGTGCGTTCGCGGGTGGGGGTGGCGGGGGGTGGCGTCCGGGAGAGTACTGCAGCCCCCGCCTCCCGGGGGCGAAGGCGGGGCCGGGGCGACGGGCGGGGCGAGGGGCACGGTGGTCCTCCCTCCCCGATGACCCCTGATAAACCCCCGGCTCCCGCCGGATTACCTCCGGATTACCCCCGACCCAATTACCACTCGGCCGCTCTCACAACATCGATTTGTCTGCCGACACCTGGCGAAGAGAGAGGGGCGGTGGCGGGGCGGTGGCAGAGAGTTTTGCGCTCAGTCCGGAATAATTATTTCACTCTCGCTGGGAGAGAGGATGAGGGGGGCGGGAGGGGGTCAAGGAGGAGAGTCTGTTGCCGGACGCGTTCCGCTGTACGACGAGCCGAGCGTGCCGCACCCCGTGCCCGTCCCAACGGAACAGGGGGGTAGTGGGCGGCGAGGCGGCGAGAGCGAGGCTGGGGCCGACGGACGAGTCCACTTGCCATACGGGCCAGGGTGCTCATGCCTCACTTTGACTGTCCCCGTGCCCCGCTGGCGCGGGCGGGCTTGGGGCTCTCTAACTTGGGGTCGGTCGTGCTGTGCTGCCCCCCCCCCCTGAAAAGCCCCTTCCCTCTCGTGCAGAAGGCCAACAACCCTGAAAGAAAAGAAGGGTGTGTGATGAAAGGCAACTGGGACGTCAATGCGAAATATTTCTCTCTTCAGAAACACCTGCACTTTGGGAGTATGGGCCGGGCGCTCTGCTCTGGACCCTCTGGATGGGTGAGACGGGCGAGCCACCGCCACCGTCTTCACACAGCTGCTTGGCGGGATGGCCTACCCATTGCGTCGCCGGTGCTATCATAAGCGTCGACTCGTTAAACGTTCCATGTGGGTGTAGAATCGATCTCCTTTATCCCTGCCGCTCCCAAATTGCTCTTTACAATTTTTCGTTTTCTGTATTAATTTTGGGGCCCAGATCCAGCCAATTTTCGAAGACAGGGACCTTCGTTCGTGCACGGTTTGGGGACTCTCCGACCTCTGTGTGGACCTTTGAGCATTTATGGAATTTTCCTACAACTTCCCATTTTCAAAATTTCTTGGAGTTCAGGTGTTCTATCTGTTTCATATTCCGCGGCTGTGCGCTCGTGCGCCTTCTCTTAAAACTCCATTAAAGCCTCATCTCGAACCGACCTGCAACGTCGAGGTCGATTGTTGGCTCGTCGTGTAATGTTTTGTTTCGTGACGTTTCGAGGATTATAGTTCCACGATGACGGATCCCGGTTATATGCCCAACAATTTAAAACTAGAGGTATATTCTTGCTGTAATATTTTTTTACGGTTATTTTGCACTATATAAGTTTTCTGATAAATGTTGTTAAGACCATTTAGGTGTTAAATTCAGTCATATTCGCAGTGGTCGACTCATACACTAACCTCTTTTGTGTGTTTTGACGTGACGTCGGTCAGCTTTAGTGTCATTTTTGTTTTATTATTGGAAAGAAAAATACAATATTTATGTACTACCGGAACCGTGGATTCTATTTTAATGGGATGAAAATAGTTTCTTTGATTGTTTACCTGACGTTTTTATATTTTGTTAATGAAGAGCAAAACCCCACCTTCCTGCCTTCTGCTTCTGTTTGTTTTTGTGCTCCATATATAAAAGTAAAATCTTAACATTGTAATCTGACTACCACATCAATCTTCATGTTTCTGTATTAATTTAGAAAGTTGTTTATAAAGAAATCTTTATTTTCTAGGCTCGCCGCTCTGTTGTATCAGATGTTGAGTTTCAAGCTTCCCAAGTTATAGAACGTCTAGAGGAAGCGGCAGAAAGAGCTGCTGAAAGAGCTGTTGAAGGCTCTGGCAATTCTTCTGGAGGATTGTCATGGAAAAGCAGTTCTCTTGTCTTAGCACTTCCTAGTAAAACTAATGCCGAAATATTTAGAGTACTTGAAGTAAGTTATAGATGTTAATGAAACTGTTTCAGACTCTGTATTGATCTCTTGATAATGGTAAAATAAAACTGTCACCAATTCTTTCAAAGGATCTGATCACATTCGAGGATAGTACCAGTTTTGCTTCTTGGAATGAAGATGTAACAACACAGACTGAAGTTGAAAATCCCACACTGGCATCTGTGCCAGCTCTTGATGCAGTGTCAAAACTTTCTGCTGTTTCTCACGGTGTTGCCTCCCTTGCCTGTACATTGGATAGAGCACACTCCCAGCAGCTTAATGCCCGTCTTGCAAGTGACTGTAGTCGATGGCTTAGTCATTTGTTTAGGTCTGTGATACCTTGTTCTTTTTATGATAGTGCTTTCACATTACTTTCCTTTAATCTTGTTTCATTTTTACTGGGGAAATAGAATTGCAGAGACAACTGCGGAATGTTCAGCTATTTTTCATGAAGATCCGTTAGATGGCATTGTTAGAATTGGAAAATATTTATTACACAAGCGGTACCCAAAATATGAAGAAGATGGTTTTGAAGCACTTGCAGCAGAGAGGCCAGTTATTTATTCCAGTGTTTCTTCACCTTTAAGTGTTGTTCAACATCTCTGTAGACAGGTATCGGTGATTCCATTAAATTTTTGGTACTGTGATTGCACCCCCTGATATTTAAGCTTTTGCTTTTATGTTACAGCTGGGGCTTCCACTGCGTTGTATTCAGCCTGTACCCTGCAACACCATGTTTGGTTCTCATCAACGAATGGATGTTGCAGAACTGGAACGGTTAATCGAACAAGACAAAAATTCCCACAAAATTCCACTAATGGTTCTTGCAGATGCAGGTATTGAATATCTTCCAAATTACTTTATTTGCCTACAAACCCCATCAATTAAGTACTGTAGCTTATTGTATTGTGGAGCATAACATTTTGTCTTATTTCTCAAGGTACTGTCATTGCTGGACATGTGGATAACTTAGCTCGAATCCAGGAAGTATGTGAGAAACATGATGTCTGGATGCATTTAAGAGGGCACAACCTTGCTGCCTTAGTTCTCACCCATCCAACAGTAAAAGTAAGATGGTGCCTGAACAGCATTCACTCAGTCAAAATTTTCAGTATTGAAGTAAAACTTTTTGTTCCAGCCCACTAAACTTGCTGACAGTCTTTCCCTTCCACTTGGAAATTGGCTGGGCATACCATCATTGCCAATAGCTGTATCCTTTGTGACCATGAATTTATTTAAAATAATTGTATGGATAAATTTTTATATGTACTTTTCTTAACCTAGCATTAGACCATGTTTTACCTCCCTTCTCCAAGTGATACAGAGTCTATTGACAGTCCAAGAAATACCACCCTCCCTATCATTGCAGGACTTGTGAATGACCTTGCTACAAGACGTTTTGTTAGTTTACCCTTATGGACAACACTCCAGGTTAGATTTGTCTCAAAGAGAAACCCAATAATTTAAGATGCCCATTGTCAAAGTACATATTACATGATCGTTCTTCTAACAATTGTTAACTTGTAGGCGTTAGGGAGAGACGGAATCCAGACAAGAATCACACGAGCTTTAGAGTCTTCTGAGATGATGTGGAAAGCACTTGCAAATCTCCCTTCACTCCGCCTTGTGGTATGTTTTTATAGACTAGATGTGTACTTTAGTATGCTACTTTTAGAGAACTCTAGTTTTTAATAGTCCTTCAAACCAATTTCTTCCAGAGTCAGCAACCTGGTGGTGAGTCAGGTTCATACACAATATTAGATGTTGTTGGGAAGCAGATTAATCCATTGGTGAGTCAACCCTTTCTTTACACCTCTGGTTTCTTACAGTCCTATTACCCCTAAATTATTTTAAATTATTTTTCTGATAATGCTATACATTCTTTACAGTTACTGCTTGAAGTAGTTGCTAGTACGGTCACTTTCCAATTCACAAATTGTACTGAAAAAGGACGTGTGTCTTCATATTATGATAAACTGAATACTTGGGTAAGATTTTCAAGCTAATAGGATGTGCATTTACAAAACTGTAATTTAAATATAAATCTAATTGTAAAATCAATTTTGTTCCCCCAGTTAGCGCATATACTTCAACAGGAATGTCCTCAGCTTGTGATTGACATGTGTGAATTGGAGTCACATGGGATTGTGCTTCGTTACTGTCCTCTTGAGTTATCTCCAGATTATCTCCCTACTAAGGAAGATATCGAGCAATTTACAGTGAGCCTTGAACAACAAATTGTGAGCAAGAAGATCTTTGTATCCACATACAATATTATTTGAGTGTGGAAGTGTTTTTTACTACATTTTAATTTTTTTACAGGAAGTTTTGACAGCCACAGTTCAACTTAAAGATGTTTTCCAGCAATCTGTGTCCCGAAACACAAACTTGCAGCTTGTTCAAGATATGGCTGATTGGGCTGGACTAGGAGGTGTTCGTTATCTTCCAGACAATTGGGAACTTCTCCCCAACTCTCGTGAAGAATTGAATCGCCTCAACATGCAGCTGGTGGAAAGACTACAGAATACTGATCAAGCTTTTTCTCTAGGTACAGTTGACAGTTGCCATGACAAGGATTTGCTTTTATTATGCAGTCAAGTACCTGCAAGTAAATAAATTCAAATGCATTCTTTATTTGTAGGAGAGGACAGTGAAAGTATGGCATATGTTCGCTTTGGAATGGTCACTGCAGGGTCAGATGTAGAGGAACTTTTGGAAATGGTACTATCAGTTGGAAAAGAAGTGGAAGAATCCTCCAGATTTCTAGAAACAATGACTCAAGTTGTAAAAAAGGGTATATCAGCATCTACCATTTTACTCAGGATACTGCATATAAATTATGGATACATAAAATGAGACGTTTTTGTTTGCAATTTTTTTGTCTCTACAGGTATAGAAGCTGCAACTTTGGATCTCCAGAAGGAAAATGATGAGAGGTTATGGCAGGAGGGACTATTACGGCAAGTGCCTGTTGTAGGATCCTTTGTTAATTGGTGGTCTCCTCGTAATAAAGAAGGTGGTATAAGAGGACGCAGTTTAAATCTCAATGCAGGTATGGCTAACAGTTACCTTTCAAATTAAAAAATCAAAGAAGACATTGAGTTATGAAACATATGTTCCCTCACAGGTATTGTTGAGAGCACTGAAAATATTTACCGGTACCATATGCAACTGCAAGGAAGTGGTGGAACATCGGGGGCCCAAGGGACTCGTGTCACTCCTACTCCCATGGTGCAGACACCTGTAGGTACTGTAAGTGGAAGTCAACATTCCCGTAGCTCGTCCCAAGCATCACAGGGTTCTCTCTCGTCTCATCCTCAAACTGTTGCTGCTCTACCTATTTCTTCCCCCATTATTTCTCCTCAAATAACCCCTCAACCCATCTCTCCACAACCAATCCCACCTCAGCCAACCTCAAACACGCCTATCTCTGAACCCTCTCTGAATACTACTATTAACTCTCCAGGATTGAGTTCAATATCTGATGAAAAAGATGTAAATGAATCAGCATCTGTATAGAAACAAAAGACAAACCAGCTGACTTTCTGAGTTCCTGTTTAAGCTTTTTAATAGCCAAGTTCTGCTTTGAAATTGATTGACAATCAATGTGTACATACTGAGTGTATATTATATAAATATATATTTCAAGACAGCAAAGGAATCTGTGTATGCCCTCATGTTATTGTTTATATACTATCTACTGGTATGTAGTTCAAAAAAATTGGGAATTATGCTTATTAATTAGAAGATAGATATGAACTTACAGCATTACATTTGATGAAGCATATGCAGCATTATAAGATTTTACCAATTTATGTTTTTTTTAAGCTTTGCTGTCGCTCATTGTTTAAGATGTTGATATGTTGGCATACTCTTGTTCCTGAATAATTTCAGTGTTAATGTTATTATGGGACAATTTTGAGTAAAAGTTACCCATCAAATTTTAGAATTTATTTATTACTTGTTTTCTGTGCTTGTTAATCAAATGCTCCAATTTCTTAAAACAAGAGGTTGTGCTGGTCAGAAAGAGATAATTTAACTTATCAATAGATAGTGTTAGCAAGCACTATGTTGCTTTTATTCTTACACACCTTGTATTTCCACCGGATTTTTTTTAGCTTCCACATTTTGTGCCCTGTACTTATGTAAGATCACGTAATTGATAACCATGAAGCTACTGTTTGTAGTTGTTGTGAATGTTTCAATGCACTGTATAAGAAATCCTCCCCGGCATTCTTGTCCTTGTGTTCCAATTTGAGCCTACAGGGTAAAGTGAAGTCATCGTTTTAAATTGGAATTGTACATTCCATCCCAATTATTAAAGTGCCTGTGCTTTGCTGTTGCTCTTCATGGCATGGACACAAGTTACCATAACCAAAGAGACACTTTGGTGTTAATTATTGTATTGAAATTACTGTAGTGTGGAAAATTGGATGTTAATAAATATGAATTACTTGTTATGAACAATCTGTTCTTTTGAACTCATAGGGTTATGAATAGAACAGGTCATTAATTCACATGATTAGTAGTACTTCCTTGCCAGCTTTTATTCTAGAATTACAGCTTCTGTCATTAACAGTAGTATATGGATCCCCATAACCTGTGGTGCACAAAACATACGGCCTGTTGCGTAAGCAATACAGAGGTGGGTCGTGGGTCTCATCTGTTTCACAGTCACAACACTCAACACCAATGCTTTCATTGGCATATTCCCACATATGACTTAAAATACTCAATTTGATCATTGCAATCATAGAAAACAATTTCTAAGGGGGAGAAAATTGATACAACCTAATGGCTTTATGCAAATCATACATATGCTCTACTCGTTGGCACATACATCAATAGCTATTCTTAGTTTTTCTCAAAAACATAAACAAGCTTGATAATTACAATTTTAAAATATAATTTTGAGTGATTGATTGGAAATGAATAATGCCCAATGCTTAGAACATAGGGGAAAGCTAATTCTCAAACACAATAAAAAAATTGCATAATGCAAAAATGAAGAAAAAAACAACCAAAAACCTTTATTCCCTTTTTTCAAGAGGGAAAATATTGGCCCTTGGCTTACCACACAGCTACTAGTAAAATGTTACAAGGCTGTAACTTGAGAGAACAAATAAAATGTGCCTCCTTCATTTTCTTCACACTAAAAACATATGTATATCCTATAATGGTTCAAACATTGAAGTTTAACATTATACTTTTAGAAAATCAAGAATGAAGATGGCTGTTTGAAGATACAGCTGTACATAACCACTTATGAGCAAACGGAACATTTTTACTAAGTTATGTGCTTTATTGTTGACCTCAAAGAAAGAACTATGAGAAAAAAAATTACAAGAGAAAATGCTATGGAACAATACACCTTAATTTTATAAAAGAAACAATGAAAACAAAATGAAATGGTCAATTAGTTGTCACATAGTAAGGCCAAACAAATTACATTACAAACCACATCATCTATAGTAAATTCAGATTTTCTAAAATATAAGGAACATATTTGAAGATTATGCCATGAACAAACTACATCACATTTCTTAAGTTCAACAAATCTACAGACTGCAGAACTTAACTTGCCATCTCTATAAAGATCATTTCCAGATGATTCATAAAGTTATCACATCAAACTTAAGATATACCTACAACAAAGTTAGGTATGATTTTTATTCAAAACCGAAAAAAAAAAAAAAAGAAAAGAAAGAAAGAAGAGAAAACATTTTAAGAGACAAATTATATCTTCCAAAAATAGTGACTTCAAATACAATAAAATTACACTACAGAGGGGCAAATGAGGCTGAATGGTTTTAACTAGCATTTTACCAAGACCTTAACATTTATGATGAATGTTTCAATCACTGCACGGAGTACAGGGAATCAATCAAAGAGAATAGACAAATGCATAAAACAGAAAGTATTTCAGCTCACCACCCACTCCCTCAGGTACTGCATACACTTATAAAAAATCAGACAGGCTACCATCTGAAGTCAACTTTTAAGGCTATATGGTGCTTAACACACTGTCAACCAATGGCACTCTTGACAAAGAAAGCCACATGTAGCTGCCACATCTTCAAGTTGATGTGCTAATACCACATCTCCATAGACACCATTGTAATGTCAGAGAACTTTGGAAACAATAACTCATACTCATTACAATCTTGAAAGAGAATGTAATATTGAAACAAGTTATTGTGGTTTGCTATGTCACAGGGAATAACACCACTAAGTTAAAGAGGGCAACAAAATAGTGTACTGGCTTCATTTTGAAGCCCATTAAGAAATCCATAGATCCAACCAATAAAAGAGTACACCAATCAGATAAATGATTGGTTATCACAAGTCGTAAAATAATTTATACCAAACTAGGGCCCAAGTCATCGCAAGCAAAACAAGACTAAGGTACAATTTCCGCGAAAGACTTGACATAAGCCTCATGCAGTGTGTTGACGAAATCCGGGTCATTTTTCAGCAAATAGTGGAAGGCTTGAAGAAGCTGATTTTTAGTTAATGGTTCAGGTTTAAGAGGTGGTGATCGTGACACCTGATTTCCCAGAGTCATGTGTGCCTGGTGAGAATGTGGCGTTGACTGGAGAGAGGCTTCATGTGCAGGTGATGATGTGAACATTACTGGAGGCATAAGAGCAGGTTTGGGTGTTACATCTGGCCTCGAGTCTAAAATAGGCCCTGATGTTCCTGGTGTTCGGGGAGAGGCTAAAACCCCCTGTTGAGGCGACCCAGTAACATTAGTGGGTGAGATTCTTAGGAAATTTATTCCGTTTGTAACAGTTGTAATTGCAGAATTGTTGACTGGATTAGCACCTGGACCACTCTGGCCTTTGTTTTTACCATTTTCTTTCACCGGTTTCAGTTTAAACCCACTCCTTTTCTGGTCTTTCTGAGCAGACTTAGGTTCTGGGTGGACATCAGCTTGCTGAGGCGTAACTGATCTCTGTTGTTTTTCAATGTGCTCAACACTGTGAACAGGATTGGACTTCAAGCGCTGTAAAATTGGCTTCAAATTAGGATCATGAGCTTCTGGAGCCTGCACTCTCTGGGCAGCATGCTGAGCTTGAGCTATGAACAGGGCTGGGGACTGGGCTACTGCAGGTTTGCTTGAGCTTGTACTGGCCTTTGCAAAGAAATCCAAAACAGTCTGCGGAGTTTCAGCAGGTTGAGTGTCTGGAGCATGGTTTGGTGATAAAACATTTTTAGAGAAGTAATCTTCTTGTGCCTTACTGAGCATACTGAATATATCAGTACCATTATTGTTGTTGTTATTGTTGTGCAAAGGAGCACTAACTGGCACTGGTTTGGTGACAGGTGGAGGACAGTTAGTTAAAGGCGCCTCTCTAACCAATCTGTCCAAAACTTCAGCAATCCTCACACATTCGTCTTTGTCATAGAACCAGATTCCATTGATATCGCACTTACTGTTCCGATAGAGTAAGAAGGGCTCTTGTCTTTGAATATCTAACCCTTGTATAACTGGTTCCATCAGATTTTGAGTGCTAAGGCGGTTCATAATAAGAATGTTGTGAAAGGGCTCTCCGGTACGGCTGTACACAAACAAGGCCCCCTCAACTTCAGTCTTTTTCCACTCGTTCTTCTCACCATTGAAGGAATATAAAGCAACTTGAGACGCTTTTTCTAGGATGTCTCTAGCATAGGGATCGACTCGCTTGACAGCAGCAAGATTAATTTGATTCGAAGCTGATGAGTGATTCGAATCCGCCATTTTTCACCTCTATACGGCAAGTTCGCGGACAGCACAAACACAACTACGCAGCTAAAGCAACTTCTCAAACTTGCGAGCTGGATATTCCTGTAGCCGGATGAAATCCAGGAGATAAAATGTTCGCACAGCTGCACACGTCACACCTCAATATAAAATTATCCGGCGCAATTGGGACGGCGCCTAGAAAATAACGCTACATATCATAGAGTCAACCGCACATACCGCACACTTTCTGAAATTTATCAAAACATTCCGATCTAGGAGAAGAGAGTTTTAGTTCTTCTTCCTTTTTCTGGCCAAGAGTTTGATGGGAACTAGACTCGCTGCTCTCGCTGGGCTGTGGAGAGGTTTGTGAGATCACGCCGATTTCTGAGTTAACAGTTTTTTTTATCAAATATAACGGACAACGAAACTTTTCTACAAAAATACCCACAAGGAAATACTTACAAGACAAGAAGTGAAAGTTGCTGCTCCTCCCCCCCTTTCCCCGCAATAGCGAACCGTTATCTTTCTATCGAAGCACTGCCGGTGAAACCAGCCCGTAACGTTCCGAAGAACACTGAGTGGGAGCCTCGGAAATCAAGACTGTTCAATATTTCTCGCACAAAAACCCAAGTAATGCAGTGCGTTCAAATCGGGAACTCAAATCACGGATGTATTTATGCACAAAAATAGTATTCAAACAGTATAAAAAAAGGAGCCTAACCTCCTTTCAGACCTGCTCGTACGGCGCGAAGCCGCGGCAGTTTAAACTGAGGGAGAGGCACATGTGCTTCTAGACGTTCTCATGGAGATATCTGGGGGAAAAGGTTAAAACTTTGCATATGATAGGCTGTTCGTAGTCTAAGACATCATTTTTCAATAGACTATTAATGATAAAGATTCGAGAGTAATTCAAAACTAATCAAAATTGCTGTTTTGTTGTGTCGTCTGCTCCCCACTCAGCAGCCACTCAGATTGGAAGTCGATGCCTCGATCCTTCGCCTATCGCTACTGCCCTATGATGGCAACAAACAAGAGATCGGAAGGCTGTGAGCGTCTTGAGCGTGTTTTTAGAAGCTTGGGTTGTGTCTGTCACTGCCGGATTATTGTTATGGTCGCAAATTAAACGAAGTATCTAGCAAACACGAGTCCAGCCTGTCTCAAATTGAATGAGTTTTTATTTCAATTATTAATATGGTTGACGTGCGTGCGTGCGCAAAGCCTCAAGGGAGGGTAAGTATCTTTATTTCTACTGAAGGATTTGTGTAGGCTAAACTTTGACGTTTCAAAGGATTAACGCAAATTTCGGATTCTACTGATTGTATTCTACAGTGTACTAGATCACGAATAAATGACGTTATCGTTATGTATGCATTCCGTAGGTGCTTGGAAGCATGGGTGTATGTTCTTTTAGCAAATCGTAGAATTTCCTGTTGGGGAACGTCAGAAGTTTTCTGCTAGCATTGTGCCAATATAATTGACAAACATTATAACAAAAGTTTTGTACTGTATTTTCTCCTCAAATAAATAGCTTTTGGATTACTTGCTGTCAAGGATTTGTCTTTCGTATTTTGTCGTAGGTTTATGTTTGAATAAAGGAATTATCACAGTAATATATCTTGTCTGCATGTAGCATGTAAATTTGGTTGTTTGAATTAAATTTCTATAGTTACAAATTAGATTTCCTTTTATTTTTATTTTCTTCTCCTTGCAGACCCTCCCTAAGTTAAATTTTCCCCACCTTAATTGCATTTGATAGGAAATGAAAAGATGAGGAAATCTTACCTCATGAAGATGTTACTGATATCTTCATTAAAAACAAGTTTGTATTAAATACCTACATAGGAACTAAAATTTTCAAAATTTAGGCAACGGTTTTTTGCTTCAAGTATAATGGTAAACCAAAGTAAAGACATATAAATTTATTTTGTCCTCCTTTGCCTCCCTTTGTGTTCCTCTTTTTTCCACTTTATTATTCTTTCCCCCAAAAATGCAAGCAGCCTGCAAGGAGGCTGGTTGGCTCAAACATTTCTGTGCCATACGATGTTACACACAGAGGATGTGCCAGTTATTATCTTATTCATCATGCTGATCTCATACCGGAACCTACAGAGCGTGACTAATGAGGAAAGGTCTGGGGCCATTCCTGTTTAGCTGGCCTCCTCTTCTAGTAGTCATAATTTCATAGTGCCCCACCTAAGCTATTTCATTTCATTCTACCTATCTGCACACTTCTTATTTTTGCACACCAGGTACTTTTTTACATTTAACAATTAGGGATTTTGTTTTTCATTTTTTTTTTGCCCAAGAACTTTAACTAGTGGTTCTATGGGAAGATTGTGGATTTACAGAGAAAATCAAGCTATCTGTCACACTTTGATGTGTTGGTAGGTCCCTGTGTCACCTTGTAACAGTGATAGTAACAGGGTAGCCATGTGATTGCCTTATCAGTTGATGGTCAGCAAAGCAAACAATCTTTCATGAGTGACTACTCTGTCAGGATTTCAGTCATTCTCTTATTCTGTAATTAAATTATAAATCCATCTAAATTT